AGCTGGGTGCAAGCACAGGGCTTAAAGCAGCTTCTAGAATCTTCCCTGGCCGTCTCTCCTCCTGACCACTGTGTGCCTGCCTTACACAAAATAATTCAGTCAATCAAATTACAAATCGTGCTGGCCTGGGAGGTATTTTGTCTTCTGAAGACAATTTTGCATTTCTCTACAAGCTTCATTAGATACTGGAAAGTTCTAAACAATTTCCATTTTTAAAAGTTTAAACTTCTTGAAGATAATCTTTCCTTACTTCCAAATATTTGGTGTGAAAAGTATGCTTCACTGTAATTTCCAAGCATTACAACAAATTGCACTAAATGAATGCAATTTACCTCACGGCTTGCCTTCACCCTAATACCTATTGAAATTTCTGCCTCAGTAGCTTCTTGTTAGCCACTATAGAAAGGAGAGATTCCTGAGCTTCAAACTCATAAACACATCCATAAAGGAAGAGGATTTGGGGCAATGTGTCTTTTACTGTAATTTTTTAGTGTAATAAAAAAATTTTGGTGGATTTTTTTTATTTTAAAGAGCAAAAACAAAAACAAAAGTGAAACCAAATAGCAAAAACAAAGACAGAAACAGAGTAACATACAATTCTGTACCATATATGGTAAAGAATTTCAAACAAGAATAAAAAATTAACAATGGTTGTTATATTACATTGTTTATCGTCAAATCTGTTCAGATTAACAGATATAGGCATGCAAGACTGCTCAAGTAAGTAAACATTAACACTTGCTTTCAATAAACCTTAGTTTTTTTCTTGTCCCTTTTACTTTTTAATATTTCAGTTTATTTTAAAGAGAGTATAATAATAATTGATAAGATATTTAACTACAAAAACAGTACATATTTAGTAGAATAGCACGGGAGGTATTCAATCATGATTTTTGTACTGTACATTGCTGTCTTCAATGTAGTTGTATAAATTACAGACATTAACATATAGAGTTAGTCAAAGTGAAAAATTTGACCATTCACTGCTAGTAATAAAATTTTTAATTTAGACATTCACCATGTATTTTGCCCACCCCTTGTTTTCATGAGTTTATATCTAGATATGATGAGTAATTACAGTAATTACAGAAAAAGACACATTGGCTTTAAATAGAGCAGGGTGGAAGTCTGAGTGTAGCTTTTGCAGATTTCCATGGCATGAATACTACAAACATTACTCATTTAAGCTACTAGCGCAGTTTAATAAGAAATTGAATAAGGAATCATTGAATAAGGAACTGGAGAAAGAGGTGCAGTTGGGCAGATGTTATGTAGGATTTCTATAACGCAGGCACAACAGATAGAATTTGCAGAGTAGAGCTAAGAAGAAATTGTAGTAAAATAATTAGAAAGTGGTGAATTGTGCTTATACAGTTTCACAACTATGGAAGTACCACTGATACAATAATATCATCATATCTAGATAAAACCTCAGAAATCATTATTTCACTCTTTAGACCCTTATTTGTCACTTCAATATTAAAAAAAAAAAAAAAGAAACTCTACATTGTCTTTATAATCAGAAACCAGGAAGATTATAATTCATTAATGTGAGCAGTGTTTGCATCAAACTAACCCATGATATCTTTGTTCAGTTATAGTATAAAGAGATGAACATTAGTGGCTTTAAGTTCTTTCAAAATAGAAATACCAGGATCAGCCAGATAGCTCAGAGGATTAAAGAGCCTGCTCAGGCAGACGCAGGGACTCGGTTCAATCCCCAGTGTGCCATGCGGGCCCCACCCCTGGTGCATGCTGAGACAGCAATTGAAACTGGGTGTGGTGGTGTGCGCCTGTAATCCCAGCACTTGGGAGGCTGAAAACAGGAGGATCACCATGAGTCTGAGCTACATAGTGAGACCCTGTAGACCCTGTACTAAATACATGCAAAATAAATAAATAAATAAATAAATAAATAAATAAATAAAAATAGCATCTTCTCACACTTTACAACTAAAAGAATTGAATGTCAAATGGGAATCTTACCAAAGTGAGTGCCACAGAACAGGTACAAGGAAACTCAACGCCTCTCTACGTAGTCCTTGTAAAAAACAAATGAATATGTATTTCTGTAGTCATCACTTCATTCGAGAAGAGATGACCTCATCTTATGTGTGTTTGGATTCTTTCAGTTGCTTAACTGTGGCAGCCCTGAGTCCACCTACCTTTGTTTGGACAGTAGCAGCTCACACTCTGAAATTGTTAACTTCTCAAAATACTTCCACAGGGATATTCTCAGCTAATCCCCCTAAGAGCCCTATGAGACAGGCAGGGGCACAAGGACCACCTCCACTCTATATGCAATAAAACCAAGGCTAGAGCAGGACAGTGGCCAGCCTGAGGCCAACGGGAGCCCGCCTTCCACTTGGTCATACTGTTCTCTGAGTTCCTCCTGCTTGAGGCCTGTAGGAAGCAGCAATCAAGTGAACGTTTCCTGAAGGCCACTTTCTCCTCCTCCCATCTTTGTCCTAACAACAAATTCTTTCTTCTTTTCATTCCTTCCTCATTTTTCATTGAGCAATATGACTACCAAATCACCTACAGTAGCTCTTTTGTTCTTCTTTCTTTTATTCTAGAATAGAAAATTATCCCCCTGTTGTTCAGCCTCTAAATATTCCTGTTCTTTCTCAACACGAGAAACAAATTCCAGAATTCTACTTTCTCTTGGAATCTGATGTCATTTCTATCATCAGAGAATTCACTTTTGTAAATGTCCACACTCAAGGTATTTATAAAGAAGGAAACTGTAAACACTGATGTAACGCACTTCTAGACAACGTTGGCTTCCTGAGAAGGATTATCTTAGAAGTCAGAGGAGTCAGGCTTATTTAGGAAATGCAAGCCCTGTAGTACAGAACATATCCTGGAGATATCTAGGAGTATCAGAAGGTGTGCTTGGCTATTTTATTAAGAAAGGAAGTTGGCTCTAGTAAGAGTCCAAGAGGTACCAATGGATAACATCCAAGTCCAGAGATACAGAGCTACCAAGGGAAAGTAACCAATGTAAGCACTCTCACTCCTAGATTTATTGGCTCCTTCAACCTTAAGCAAATTCCCTGTGCATCTTCCCCACCTTTATAACAAGAATCACAGCACCAACTTCCCTTTTTTGATATAAAAATGTGTACAATATATGTGAGCTATCTTGCAAATGTTTGAAGTTTACAGCTCTAGATGAAAGAGCAGTGAGTGACAAAGGGATGCGATGTCAAACATGGTGCCAACAAGGGGCCACAGGTCTGCAGTCAGGACAGGATGGGGAGCACTAGTTCTGCTACAGCCCTACTGAGCCCCTGGCCACCTGACGTCCCAGCAGCAAGCACAGTGTCTCTTTCTACAGTGGAGGCCCCATCCCAGCTGCGCCCACACCTGCACACAGAGCTAGGTTGACACCCTATGTTTTCACTGGTGTTGCAATGAAGAAAATCGCTTTGGTGGGAACGTTCTGTTAGTGGAGAAGAGGCAATACTTTGCCTAGAACCAAGTATGTTTTCTGGAAAAGCGATGAATCTCAATGATGATTCTTAACAATGCTTCACAGACAAACTGCCAAAGAGCAGAAAAGAGTAGCTAAGCTTCCAAGTGAAGGAGGAGAACAAAGCACACCATTATAGAGATGGAACTCTTGCCTTCTGGCACAGGTGCTCAAGATGAGCATAGAGTTTTCAACTTAATATCATGAGGAATGGAATGCATTTCTCTTCAGAGAACACTTCAGAGAAATAAGGACGCTATCCAACATGAGACCAGAAAGCCACTTCTGGAGATACTTGTGTAGGGCCTGGGAGACAGCTGTCACTCAGCAGGCAAGTCCAAAAGAAGGAAGGCCATGGGTAAGAAAGCTATCTGAGCTACAGTGCCTTGTATTTCTTTTTAATTTTTTTTTTTTAGCTTTGATAGAAGAAATCTACTTTTGAAGGTCCAAAAAAAAGTGTTGTTGCTATAGGAACAGGTAAGCAGATTAAACTTGAAAGACCAGTTTTAGAACAAAGAATTTAATAGGCAGGGCTCAAGCAATTAACCAAGAAAACATTTTAAGTAAATATCTTTTGGGTTTGTTATTTGTATATTAATTCCAGGCAGATAAAAAAAAATGCTGTTATAGAATGAAAGCATCACATTTTAACATTTTAATTACATCATTACTGGCATAAAAGATTATGCTTACACAATTAACACAAAGACCTTATTAAAAGAAGTGCACATTTCTAACTCTCTCGATTACATTGTAATTGAGAAATATAACTTTAAATTCACCAAGAACGTAAGAGTCATCTCTGATTTTCTCACACTTCCTAAGATGAGAACACATTTAAAATAAAAGAACTACTGAAAGTTTGCTGTGACCAATCTCTGTAAGGAGGGAGCAACAAGTAAAACTCTAGAAGTAAAAAGAAATGTGTGTAGGCTGATCATTGTTAATATTTTATGTCTTCTCTGTCCAGCAGCCTTGCAAACAAGATGTGCAAGAAGAGAAAAAGGGTCAGAGACCCGGCCGGCTGCTGCTTCCCTACTGATGTTTTCTCCTTCCCATTGAAGGGCTCTGTTCTTCACACTGGGGACCACTGAAATGACTGGACTTCTTGAACAGACTTGTTCTCCTGACAAGGCTCAGCCATGAATTATCAAGTGGCACTGTGCTTCTCTCCCTTTCTGTTTTCTGTTTAAAAGAAAACATTCCTGATAAAAATGAATACAATATTTTCATTCTCACCAATGTCTGCTGTCAGAGGTTGCATTTGTGGGACAGAGAGACTTCTTGGACATTATCCCCTTTCTAATGACATCCCACGGCCAAAATGTAGAGAAAAATGTGCGTATCAGTGTGTGTATGCATGCGCGTGCGTGTCTGTCTGTCTGTCTACCTGCCTGCCTGCCTGCCTGCCTGCCTGCCTGTCTGTCTGTCTGTCTATCTATCTGTCTGTCTGTCTGTCTGTCTCTCTGTCTGTTGGAGTGAAGGAGTGGAAAGAGGGGAATAGGGCATGGGGTTGGAATCTTACCATCTCATTTTCTTGTCCTTCATTGAGCACCGCCTTCTGCTGCTTCCCACAGGTGTCCCCCATGAAAAAGTGATGCCACTCTTCCTGCCTTGCCCTCCTGAGCAGACACTTGTAGGATGAACTGGCAGAGCCACCGTGGCAGCTGTGCCCCAACTGGCTAAAGGGGTTAGTGATCCTCCAGGTTACACTCCTCCTTCAGTACACACCTTCTCTCCGCGAATGACAATACTTCACAAACCAGACTCCACCCACAGGCCCCTGGCTAGGAGGAATTTCTGGCTGTGCCTTGCTAACTGCCTTCTCGCAGAGCAGCTGTCTCAGAGGAGGCTGCGCCCATGCCAATCTTTTTCTGCCCAACTTACAGTGAAAGAACTCACTGCCTGCCCAGTGTCTGCCAGCCTCAGACATCTGACTACAAATCCAGTGGGACAATGCAGAGCTGGCAGAACCCTCCAGAGGAGCGGGTGCAAGAAGTCCCAAGTCGCTGCTTTATTTCTGAGAGCTGTGGAACTGGGGCAGGGGGGAGACTCGCAGCACTGCAGATTTAATTGGCTTCATGAAAGCCCCAATCCATAGGTTTATAATAGTACCCTCATTCACTTTGTTTACACAGGTACAAATTATCACTGATCTTTTTCCAAAGACATTCGTAATTGCATTTCTTCGTACATGCAGAAAACATTCTACCTACCACATATATGGAGCTATGTTGACTTTTTTGAAATACGTGGAAAAAGTAGAGGTATAAGCAATCTAGGCTATGTGGTCTCCTTTCCTTCAAATGTTGGTGCTTAAGCCACTTAAAGATTTTTTAAAATAGAATGTTCCAGTGACTGTACAAAAAGACTCATTTTTAAATGTTTTCCCAAATTATTCAGTGAACATTGAATACAGAGAGGACATTAGTAAGTCCAGGCATATTGGCCACCTTCGGAGTAACAGAAGGACTCAAACTCACAAACAGCTATGTCAGAGGTGGTTTCTGTTCTCGGACCGTAAACGTAAGTCTAAGACAACGGCAGAAGTCCTGATAAGGTGAAGGGAAGCACCAGGCTAACTTGGCTCTGGAAAATGCCTGGTTTCCATCTGCTTCTCTGTGCTGCTCTTGGTGTGACCATTTAAAAGCAGGAATTTGGCCTACGAGATAGCTCAGCAGACTAAGCGCCAGCTTTCGCAAGCACAGGGACCAGGGTTCAATCCCCAGTCCCGCGTGTCACACCAGTCCCGCCCCCCAGGGTGCGCCAAACAGGCAATCGAGTCTGGGCGGGTGGTGCACGGCTATAATCCCAGCGCTGGGGAGGCTGAAAACAGGAGGATCACTAGGAGTCTGGTCTGCGTAGTGAGACCCTGTACCAAATACATGCATGAAATAAAAAGAAAAGAAAAGCAGGCACCGGTGCTTCTCCTCTCGTAATATCTGGCGGCAAGGTGACAGTAGGAATGAGAGGCTTGTGAGAGCCGATGGAGGGGGACTGAGATGGGCGCCCAATTTAACAGCAGGCAGTAGAGCAAAGTGGTTCACGCCATGCCATGCTCTGAATCTGGAGAGCTTGGACTTAGATTTGGCCTTTGTTAGCTGGCAGGCATGGCATATTGAGCTCTACTAGGTTACTCAAACTCCACACACCTACACTTCTTTTTTTTTTTTTTCCGGAACCAGGGATTGAACTCAGGTCCTCGCGCTTGCCAGGGAAGCACTTATTCCACTGAGCCAGCTCCCCGGCCCCCACCTACATTTCTTCGCAGGTAAAATAAACACCACAATAATAACTTTTCTGCCAAAACTGTGTTTTGAGGCACAGTGCTTAGGAAACAGAAGTTGTTCAATAACCAATACTTATTTTATTTTCCATGTCTACTCCTATCCATCAAGATAGGAATGACACTTGGCCCTGCTATCTGCAACCTGGCCAACACAAATGTGTGTACGTGTGTGCACCTAAAAATCTTGAGCAAATGTTAAAACAAGTAAGATAAACACACAAAAATTGCAAGCTAAACAAACTCATTGTAACATTAATTATTATAATATATATTTGTATGAGTTTCAAAAAATTATAAGTAAAATTTAACTAAATAGATATATTAGTTAGTAATACAATTAACATTAATGTTTTATCACAAGGTCAAGGTAGGAAGGGTATAGAGTTTTCAGGGAGATGGTGAAAATGACCTGGAATTAGTGCCAGCTTCACAATTTTGTGAATGTGATAGAATTTGCAAAAAAAAAAAAAAAGAATTTGCTGAATTGCACACCTTAAAATGGTGGATTTTGTGGAAGAAAAATTTGCATTTTTATGTGAAAATTATACTTTAAAGATGTAAATGAATATTTTATACCCATTTAGTATGTTTAGCAGAGAAAAAAAATAAATGGTTGATTTTGAAAGTTCATCTCTTGAGCTGGGTGGGCATAGTGGGGCACACCCATAATCCTAGCACTGAGGAAGCTGAGTTTGAGGCCAGTCTGGGCTAAAAGTGTGTTCAAGACCAGCCTGAACTAACTACATATTGAAAGCCTGTTTCTTTTCTTTTCTTTTCTTTTCTTTTTTTGTATTTTAGGGAAGGCTCTACAGGGTGTTCAGGGTCTCACTACTAGTTTGGACTCCTAGTGATCCACCTGTTTACAGACTCCTAAGAGCTGGGATTACAGGCGTGCACCACCACGCCTAGTCTCAATTGTTGTCTCAGTGTGCCCCGGAGATGGGGCTGGCACAGCAGGCTTGGGAATCGAACCCCCGGCCCCTGCACCTGCTTGCAGGCACTTTAATCCGCTGAGCTATTTGGTCAGCCCCAAAACCCTGTTTCAAAAAGATAAATAAATAAATAAGACTTCATCTTGACAGTCAAGTGTTAGGGTGTGGAGTGGTGGAGCTTCCGCAATGCCTGGAGCAGGCAGCACATATCGCGTTGTCCTCTCTGTAGCTGCCCTTCTGGCTGGCATCCTGAGTACTCTTGGCAATCCATGGGGCATTGTGAGGTAAGGCCAGCAGGTAGGACCCAGAGGAGAAGCTCCAAGCCAACTTTCCCCAGCAAAGGAATCCAATGATGCTGCAGCAGTGACTTCTCCTTTCTCTTCATGAGCACGTGATTGCAGTGCACACTGCTGACTTCCCTTGTGTGGAGCTGGTGCAGGTGCACAACACCTCAACATTCCCCTGTCATCCCCTTTGCTCCCTCCCTCTTCTCACCCATCATCTCTCCATTTCCTTCTTGTTTGAGAAAACTCTGCCTCCACTCCTTACTATCTTTTATTTTCTCTCACTTTATAATTAGGGTTTCTCTTATATGAGAAAGCATGCAATATCAAAGCTTGTGTCTGAGTTATTTCCCTTTGCATATGGTTTCAAGATATCAAATAAGAGAGACTGGGAAGATAGCTCAGCAGTCTAAGCTCCTGCCTGGCAAGTGCAAGGACCTGGGTTTGATCCCAGGAACCACACTGTCATGCCAGCAGCCAAAGCCAAGCATGGTGGTGCACACCTGCAATCCTAGCACTGAGGAGGCTGAGATAGGAGGATCACTATGAGTACAAGCTGCATAGTGAGGCCCTGTAGCAAATAAATAAGTATTTTTCAAAAAGATATCAAATAAGAATAAAGAGTGACCAGGCTGCATGTGGTGAGGGGACAAGCATTCCTGCACTATTGGTGGGAATGTAGACTGGAAAATCACTATGGAAATCAGGATGGAGATTCCCCAAACACTGAAATTAGAAATTTCATTTGACCCAGTTGGTTCTTATCTAGGTATCTTCCCAGAAGAGTTAGAAGCATCGTGTTAGAACGCTCATTGCACACCCATGTTTACAGCAGCACATCTCATCATAGTGAAATCTTGTTTTTTATCTTCTGCTACAGATTGAACCATCTGTCTCCAAGCTGAGAATATTTAAAATTGACATAATCTTAAAATAGGTGTTAAGACGTCAAACTCAATCATTTTAAATATTTCATTTTTTTCCTCTAAAGAGTCATACAGAGAGTAGAACCTAAAGAAATGCAATTTCCTCTTAGTCATGCTTGTGTAAAATTTTTTTCTCTCTTTTCAAAGAGTAAATTATCAGTGTTTCTCTTTCCTCCTTTTAATTATATAATATGTTTTCCCAACTAATTAGGTTATATTCAAATAAATAAATAAGATGTAATAAAAAAATAGTTAAATGTCCATCAGCAGGTAGATGGATAAAGAAAGCGTATTGCCAATCATCAGAACATTGTTTACTGTGCTATAAGAGGGATAAACTTGTGTTACGGGCTCACGATATTTAAGCCAAATGTCAGATCATTGAAAGCTTTCTGGGGGGAAGAAACCCACAGGCTGTATTTGGAGAAGTCTTTAAAGGACCTTTACATACTTGAAGCCAGTCTAAAGATTGTACACACTTGAATTCAGCAAATAACCCAATGTAGTCCATCAGTCCATAAAAGTAGTGGGTTATCAGCAGAACTGGCAATTGTCAGAAGTTGTTGACTTGAGCCTTTTATAGCTTAGCATATTAATATGGCATTACTTTTATACCTCGTGGTTATTCTTTCCTGCTGGATGGTTAAGACCAAGTTAAAGCAAGACCTATATAACTAAAAATGTAACTTTTGTATCTCACAAGGCCAGTCAAATCCCCTCAGGACTTACCCTGAATCCATGTATAGCAATTTGTAGATCTTTCATCAGTGTCAACCATCTGGATGAGTCACGGCCATTGCTTGACCAATTTGCTCTGTGTGAAAGCCTAAGAGAATTTTTTCTCTCTAGGTGACTCTCCTTAGGCACAATATACATGGTCAATCATTTTCCTCTGTGACCCCATAATCTCCTTGGACAGAAAATCTGGTACACCACTGAGTTACAGGATGTCACAGCATAGGTTCTCTTATGTTCTGAGTCCTCACTGACCAGCATCTCTAACTGCAATAGAACACCCATCCTGACAAAACAGAGAGAGAGAGAGAGAGAGAGAGAGATAAAGGACCATTTTATAGTGAA